CAGGCGTCAGGTTGGCGGGAAGCAGCGCCCGGCCCACGCCGTGAGGGAACCGCGGGGCGCGAACTGTCCTCGTCCTCCCTGGGCTGCGCGGGAAACTCCTCTGGAGAGGGCACCAGGAACCCGTTGCTCTGGAAGTGAGTCTTTCTGAAATCTGTCAGGGCCTGGCGACCTCTCAAGGAGAGGCCTGCCAGGCCTGTGCGGGCCACGCGGGAGCCAAGGCAGACCACTTTCTTGGTGCAGGCCTGAAGTCTTTATTTCCTGTTTAAAAAAAAAAAAATATACTGGCACACAGTGGTTTTTCTCACATTCTACTTTCCACATTTATTTTATCGACATTAGCAGTCGCGTTTCTCTCAGGTGGCTGTGGGATTCCTCCCTGAAACCGAGCACTCTGCTGGCCCAGTCCCCTCTACGCAGCGCTAACCTCGCCACAGGCGTTTGCAGGATTAAAGAGCAGGTCTTTCGGAATGCACAGCTCTGTGCCTTATTTTACTAAGTGGATGAACTTTTATTAAGACATGCATTTAAATCTAATCAATTTTATAAATTTCTTGAAAATATTAAGCATCGTGGCTCTGTCTGCCCATTAGTCAATGATTTTAAGTCTATTGCAGTTTGTTTAATACAGCATTCTTCATTACTCCTGCGGAGGTGAATTTCAGACAAAGCAAGATCGAATTATCCTGAACTCCATATTAATGAACGATAAACCAATGGCTCACAGCATTTGCTGTTCTTATATGAGAAAGACTTCTCAAATCGAATCATCACAGTTCATCTCTAAGATAATGTCATTTTGAGTCAAGCTGGGGATATGTAGGAAATTTGCTTTGTTTTGCTGCGTTTATGAAGTTTATTTCAGTTCCACTCCTTCATTCATTAAACAAATTGGATTGAATGCCTATTAAATGCCAGACTCTGGTGGAGGTAAGATTATCGCCCTCAACCTTGCACCATCTGATAATTAAAACAAATATTACACAGCAATTGAGATACAGTGCAATCACTAAAATCCTGTGAGAAAATTGAAAATTTATATTAAAAAAACTCATCCTTTCTCTTCTAACTTTATATAAATTCCTGTTAATCTGGGTAACAGTTTTCTTTGAACTTCCAAAAGTAGAGTGGTCATGGATTTTACAGAAGTGTATACTGAAAAATGACTCAAAATTGAATGGGTTTTTATCTCCCTCATCCTTTGTGAAATATATAGTAGGTAATTAATACATGTTTGTTGAATACATGAGTGAATTCTAGGTATCTTAAAATATTTAATTTTGTGCTTTTTAGAGACTACTTTTCTAAAAACTTCTCAAGTTGCTATGCATTATGTGGCTAAACTATGTAGAATGTGACTAAGGTCCAGAGGGGTAGGGGAAAGGAAAAAAAGGAAAAGGGAAGAAGGGAAAGGAAAAAACATGAGAAAAGGAAAAAAATGAAAACAAAGTCTTTGTAAATAGGGAGTGGTGGAGGGATTGAAGCGGGGACAGGGGAATGGGGAAAATAACAGAGGTGAAGATGCTCAAAGATGTATCTAAGGGCTTTCATTTCTTCTTGTTAACCATTGCATTTAAATGCTAAGTATCTGAATTGGCCCTGAATAGATAGTCAAAATACAATAACTTAGAAAAATCATGCTTTTTTCGTGTAAAAGTTACTTGCTTAAAAGGTATAAAGTAATGAAAACAGTAGCAAAATGTTTTATTACAAAACAGAAATGTCATCAATAATATCTAGGCTAACAGGAAAAAACTAGCTCTCTTAAATCCAGCAGCTTAAGAAATATTTATTTTATTAGGTAATAAACGTAAATAAGAAAGCCCCTGTCTTTCATGATCTTTTAGCCTAGTAACAAAGCAGAATTTTACCACTGAGAATCATGATCGTGAAAACTAGTGTCTTAGCTGTAGTTACTTTCTTGTCTGTGATCTTGGAACAATATAACTAACACCTGTAATCTAAAGGAGAAAACGTTTATTTTAGCTAGTAGTTTGTAGAGGTTTCAGTCCATAGTTGGCTGACACCAAGGCAGGTAGGCATGGCAGAGGAGAATCAGCTCATGGCTTAGCAGACAGGAAGCAGAGAAAAGAATCAAGGAAGGAGGGAGGGAGATATACCCTCCCAGACCACAGCCCCAAGAATCCACTTTTTTCAACCAGACTTCACTTCTGAACATCACCTTTAGCTATAAACTCCTCAGTCCACTGCTGAATATCATACCCCTATGATCCAGTCACCCCCCAAATCCCCACCTATGAGCACATGAGGCTTTGAGGGGATGTCTAGATATGAACATTAACAACGAGCAAATACTGAACACACTAAGGTAATCATGGACTGCCTCAATTCTCAGAAAAGCTTTATCAGGCAAGTACCATTTTGTACCTTTATTTTACAATGAAGAAATGGACTCAGATCTATTCATCCAGGGACATTCAGTTTGTTAATGTTGGGGACAAGATTTTCACTCTGTGTTTCCTGGAAATGTATGAACTTAACATCGTCACCCTATCACATCCATGAAGCCAGTCTCTGGCTATTGCTCTTTAATTGAATTTTAACAAAGAATGAAAGATTGATAAATAATAGTTATTATTGTTACTTGTTAGTCTTCACATTCTACACTTACAACTTAAATAAGAGCTTCAGCTGAGGTTTGTACCCAAATAAATAACAAACAAAAGATGAAGCAGAAAAATATGTATAAAACATTTTTCAATATATTACAATCTTTTTTTTTTACTTTCTCTTCCCTCTGTCTGCATGGTGTGTGCATATGTGGTATGTGTGTGTGAGTGTGTATTATGAAACTATTATTTACCCACACTTCTGTAAAAAATAAAAGTTAGCCAGGGATTAGCTCAGGGGTTCTGCCTCCTGCCTCGCAAGCACCAAGTCTGAAGTTCAATCCCTGGTACCAAAATAAATAAATAAATAAATAATTTTTAAAAATTAAAATTGAAGTTTAGATAATTTAAAAATGACTTTAAAAATATATTTTGAGGTTACAATGAGAAGTTCTTTGCCATCTATACTGTATATTACTTTACAGAATTTAACTTAGAAAGGGTCGTGATGTCTCTTGATCCTCACCTGAACCTCTATATTTCCTTGTTTGTTTATTTAAAACAAAATCAATACATGTATAATGCTAATTGTGTGTGGAATTTAGGTACATTCAATTTGTTATTAATATTCTAGTGTGTTATTTGCAAAAATCTATTATTGTTTCTAGAATTACAACATGAAAAAGTTATGCCATAAGTCCTTGGAGAAAATGGAATACCCTGTATTAATTATTAATTCCTTCATGGCCCATACTGGAATGCAGGTTGGATACTTGTGAGTTTCCATTCAAAACACTGAGCAAGCAATGAAGGAATTTCTTCTCAACAATTTAGTTTCTTTGGGAACACAAAGGAGAATAAGTATAAGAGTGTAGCTTGTGTTTTAATGGTGGTTACCAATGAGTGCTTCGGGAAACATCAGATGGATACCTCACTTAGGTGTGGAGGGAGAATTAGTGGCTTTTTCAGGTGAAGAGATATAAATGCTGAACTCTGGAAGACAAAATTAGGCTAAGGGAATAAATAATACTTTGGAGAATAAGTGCTCAGCCCCAGATTACAACTTCATGGGATCTGGTTGACCTAGTTGAACACCCAACAGTATATTCATTGATAATTATTAATTGCTGACTTTTTGAAATGAAAACAATATTTTTTTCATCTACATTCTTCTGATATGTTGTCAACATAGCTGAGTTGTGCTGGTAAATTAATGATATCTGAATTTTCATTTTTCTTACCTACTACTCAATACCCAGCTGGAAATGTTATCTCATTATTTATTGTGAAAGGATCATTGGGCCCTTTTATGCTCCTCAGAAATTACAGTATTCTTCCTTGTTCTAATACCTGTCTTAAATTATTTTCCTTAGGCTAAAAAATCAGTAGCTATTGTTCACAAATAATGATTCATTTTTTGAGTTAACTGAATGTCTGATACTGTATCTTGAGATAACTAAAGCTCTTTGTCCTCAATGATTTCACTATTTGATTATCTTTTGGAAATATTACTTTTTTGAGGAGTGCTTTTTACACTAATGCCTCTTTCAGATAAACAAATTTTCAAATCCCAGCTGGAGGTGTTTGCCTTGGTGGTGAGCTCATCAGAAGAATATTGTCTTCATCCTTTTCTTGCTTTTGCTTTCAAATCTCTCCTCAAGCAAATCTCTTTCATTTTTTTCTTCGCTTTATAGGGCATGTTAATGAAACAGATGCAGCAACAGTATGAAAACTTATTTGGATGAGGCAAAATTTCATTTATAAATTGTTCCTTTCCCAACACTTCATAGAGCTTTTGTGTCTCTTTGTATTATTAAGTGGAGCCTCTGAGATTCACAAGGATTATTACCAGGTTGGAGGGACATGGTGTATCAGTTGAACAGTGTTCTCTTCATACAGTTTTACTTCAGAAGTCCTGCAGATAAGTGGAGTAAAATTAAAAAAAAAATTATTTGAAATATTTATGCATGTATTTTAGAATTAAGGAGTAAGATTGTTCAGGAAACAAGTTTTTATAGTCAATCCTGTGGAAATATTAATACTTGAAGCTATTACTCCAGATAGGCATTCTTTCTTTTTAAGTATCTAATTTCCATTTACAATATTTTGAAGAAGATCGCTTTTTGGCCTTTTGGCTAAGATCAAGGGTAAAATATTTTGAAGAAACAAAATGTAGTTATTCATCATATAAAGTTAAGAGAGTCACTGGAGATTTTTATGAAAATAGTAAGAAATACCAATGTTATTGAAAAGATTGATAGAAGAAAGTTGTGATATTAAATGGTTTTTTGTTGTTGTTG